GCCAAATATTTGTAAAACTATTTAAATGTACGTGAAACCCCTCATATTGTTTTATTTTTTATTGTCGTCATTGTACACTAGTTTGTTAAATATTTCATGTTTCCAATATTCATTTCCAGTATATGGTATGCTGTGTTTTTTTTAATCTACCTCATCGTTCCGCGGTACAGCAAACAAGTGGATCGCAGCGAGATGTGTGCTGCCTGTCCGGTCAGATTCTTCTGCTAAACTGATTTTTTTTCCCCCGACAAAAGCACACGCCGTTGAATTTCTTTAAAACGATTGTTTCGAGCCAAAGCGTGTCACTTCCTGTTCAATATCAACCACGGGATCTTGAGGCTTTTTCATGCATCATGTAACGAGAGACCTATTTTTGACAGTCGGTGTTTTTGTTTCCAACTTTCTCGAGGATGCACACACATAAGTGAATATTGCTGAGTTTTGAGGCTTGTTGAGGCCTCCCAAAAGACAATTTGTACATCAGTCCTTCAGTTGTGAAATAAACTTGCGAAGCTGAGTAAAACCACTTGGGACACATTTGTTTTTTTTTAATATTTTATTTAAAAAACAACCACAAAACTATCATTACAAAAAAGGTATAAAACGTACAAAAAGCGTCCTTCTAAAAAAAATACACTGAGATGATGTTTTTGAGCCGGCACAAAATGGCACTGAGTGGGTGTACTTCACATACCCAAAAATAAAAAGGCATTGGCTTCACATTGATATGATTGCGAGGTTTACAACCAGTCATTCAACAACATCGACATGACTATCCCTTGTTTTTTTTAACAAACAAATGTGGGCTGTGTATACCGATTTTATAAAAAGGAAGAAGCAAAAAATTTAAATTGTACCAAAAGAAATGGTCAAAATGTGCCCCATCCCACAGATTCAATCAGGCATTGGGGGAGCTAAGACAGCAGTGATTTATATTTACATATAAAAAAATGCGCCTTTTTTTTTTTTTTTACAAGACCATCGAAAAAAATAAAGAACAATATTAAGAGTTCCGCATTTTTCAAGCATTACCCAGGTTTGTTTTTGTCTTTGGGCGGAGGCACCTCCAGAACGTTTGCAAAGCTGGTGCAACATTGCCAAGAAAACAACAACAGTATCAAAACACACTTGAGAGCCTTGGTGTGACGCAACCATTGGTCCAGTACCTTCCTTTTTCAGCGCGGTGCCTCATCCATTAAACTTTGCTCACCATTCACACTATTCCTGGTTTTTCTCATACACACCCCCACCAAAAAAAAAAAAAAAAAAAAAAAAAGTGGAATTCCAGTTCTAAAGCTGAGATGCATTTGACTGAACTTCCCACAGTTGCAACTCTTAACTTGTGACTAGCTCTAAATCTCATATAACAAAGATATATAATATATAGAAATGTAAAAAAGAAAAAAATAAGTAGCTGCCCTGAGGGAGACGTTCATGGTAACGGTTTATCGCAAAAAGCACTTTGGATCTTCTTTTTTGTCTCAAGTAATGTCAGGTTGAGACCACTATTCTCCTCCTTTTTTGGACCTTGGACCGGCTGTAACACTGATATTGCTCGGGGCTGACATCATACGCCTCAAGGTCACCGCATCTCATTCATACGGACAAACGTATACACACACACACACACACACACACACACACATTCAAATTCAGGTTGGTTTCCCTTATGTCCAATCACCGATCCTGATGTCAGCTCCAGTTTCCAGTGTCAGCTGGGCTGGTGGTGACCACTGCCTACGCACGCATACCTGGAAGGGGAGAGAGAGAGAGAGCGTGCAGTGTTTGGGGGCGGGCGCTCAAGGAGAAAAAAAAAAAAAAAAAAAAGCCAGCACCCATCACCAAAAATTGTCATACAATGAAGAAGAAAAACAATCGTACGTATTGAACTACAGTATATATTTCTGAGAACCAAACCAGGAACCGAATCATGATCAATTCATGTTCCTGCTTTTTTTTTTTTTTTGACAGATCTTGTTGAATAAAGCAGGAAAAAAAGCAATTCATGGGGGGGGGGGGGGGGGTTGCCTGCTGCAATACTTGCTAGCGGCCGCCCGAATCTTTTGGCAGACATTTCAGTGGCATATAGTTTTTTTGTTTTTTTTTTTAATATGTGAGGCTGGAGTCGGTGAAACGTACCTTTGTCGGACGCGGCGGTCTGCTTCTCCTGGGCAAAGTTGAGTCTGTTCTGCTCGGCCGCCGTCCCGTTGGACTCGGGACTGCTGCTGCGAGACGGGCTGAGCTCCTCGTTGTGGTAGGCCATGTCCAGATGCTGCTGAGCCAGCTTCAGGTGCCTGCGCAGCCTGTCCAGCTCCCGCGACGAAGCCTCGTCGCCAAAGGACTCGCGGCCCGAGTCGGCCAGGTTGTCCCGGAAGCCCAGTTTGCCCGACGCGTCCTTCTTGAGCGCGGCGTGGTAGCCCGGAGGCGCCGAAGGCTGCCGGGAGATGGAGGACCTCTGGCTGGCCAACGCCGAGTGGCGAGGGGTGGGGGGCCGCGCGCGCGGTCCGCAGAAGCAGTCGCGGATGCCGCTGATGCCCAGGTGGAGGATTTCCAGGACGGTGAAGAGCAGGCACAAGGCGCTGACGGCGTACATTATGAGCAGGAAGATGGTTTTCTCGGTGGGGCGCGAGACGTAACAGTCCACCGTGTGCGGGCAGGGCGAGCGGGTGCAAACGTAGGACGGCGCCACCTCCAGGCCGTACAGCACGTACTGGCCGAACAGGAAGGACACCTCGAAGACGGCGCGCGACAGCAGCTGGAAGATGTACACCTTCATCAGGCCGTCCCGCTTGATACGTCGCCGCCCGTCGTGTTTTTTACTCGGCTTCTCCTCCACTTCCTTGTCCTTCTCGGGTTCGATCTCCTCCAGGATCATGGGGTCCTCCTCGCCGTTGTCCTCGGCCTCCTCGTAGTCGCGGTTGGCTCCGCGGCTCACGATGGGCATGCGCTTGCGGGCCCGCGGCCGGTAGTCCGCGTCATCCATGCGCGCGATCTTGTGCATGGCGAAGCCCAGGTACATGATGGTGGGCGTGGTGATCATGATCACCTGGAAGACCCAGAAGCGGATGTGCGAGAGAGGCGCAAAGGCGTCGTAGCACACGTTCTCGCAGCCGGGCTGCTGCGTGTTGCACACAAATTTGCTCTGCTCGTCGTAGTAGATGGACTCGCCGCCCACCGCCGTCAGCACGATGCGGAAGACGATCAGCAGCGTCAGCCAGATCTTGCCCACGAAGGTGGAGTGATTGGAGATCTCGTCCAAGAGACGCGTGAGGAAGCTCCAGCTCATCTTGCCGGTCCGGCTGCGGCCAACTTCTCAGATCTGTCAACCAAGAATAGACATTGGTAGCCAAAGAACAAGGGCAAGCATTCACCGGAAGGACACATCCGCTAAAAATGACGACAACGGATGGAAAAAAGCAGTGGTTCACCGATCCCAGAATGCCCCACAAAATACTTTGCATTTGACTTTCTCGTATTGCGACAGGAAATGTTCGTCTCCAGCCACAAGTACGGAGGGAGAGCAAACCACCTCATCGGCTCCATCTGCGGTGTTTTCAACTGCGGCCACCGGGGGGCGCCAGCGTACGCCCAAAAGAGTCGTCCATGGCGGCCTCAACACTTTGTCACAACGCCTGCGGCTTGCGAGAGCATTTCTGCTCGCGCGTGACATTCAAATCCACTGCGTGTTTTGATTTGCCTTCCAACAGGTTTCACCTGCGTATCGGCTTCTCATCTTGCGCCAACCATCGCTTTAATTGCTCACCGCGCTCGCTCGGAATTCGACGTTGAATTGTACGAGGCTGGCAAATGACCCGCAGGAGGCAAAGCGGAAAGATAAGAAACGAAAGAGCAAAGAGCAAATCTTGTGGTTTTCACGCCATCTGTGACCAACCTCGTAACTTTTGCACTGTCAGGCACGCTGCACTAATAACGAGGAGGATGCGTCGGTCTTTGTGTCAAAGTGCAAAGCAGGCAAAAATTTTAAAAAAGGAAAAGTTGCGATCCAAGGATGTTCGAGAGTTTGCCTTTGAATTTACAGCCCGTCAGGATCTTGAAATGAATCCGTTTTGGGGCTGGAGGGTAAGCACACAGTGTCAACTTTTAATTGGTCGCTTCCTCATCGTCAATCACACACACGGGGTCGCATGCATTTACCCCTAAGAATGAAAATGTTGGACCAGTCACTGCTGGAAATGGGGAGAGATTTGTGTTAAAATTATTCACACAAGTACATCAGTGATTTTTCCCTGTTTTTCAGATCCACAAATATATTTGTGATTTTCAGGGTTTTTTTCATTGTCTTCATTTGTCATGACTTATTTTTAAATACAGTATTCAATTCTGCGAGTGAGGTGTCGAACATGCGTTTATTTTTGACACAAACGTCACGCTGTTTTCATTAAAAACATTCGGGATGGGCGAATACCGAAACCAGGTAGGATATCTATATCGGGCTGATATCAGCCGAGTTTTGAGGTATTTGCGAAGGATCAGACAGAATAAGTCTTCCTTGCCGGTAGTTTGTGCGACGCTGCGGCCATTTGACACATTTTATGAGTCAGGCATCGTGTGCGTCAGAAAGACAGAAAGCTTTTTTTATTCACAATTATCTGTCGCCGTCCGTGTTCATTTTATGTATGGTAACCACATAGTGGCTACTGGCTCATGCAATCCGGAAGTGCTCAAACATGGATAATACTCACAACATATATCGGGTTAGGGTTTAAAAAAAAAAAAAAAAAAAAAGTTAGCCGTCTGATGAGTGCTACACATTTCATTCAAATATATCAAAGGAGATTGTACTTCGAATATGATAAAATGTCCCACCCACCTGGGACATTCCTATGCTGCCTCTCACTTTGATTCTGACGCTCCAAATCTCAACTTCATAGGTTTGATAACAATACTGTATGTTGGTTTCAAAAGGGCCCATTGAATAACTTAAGTTCAAAGAAAAAAAAAAAAAAATCCAGTGCCACCCCAAAGTCGAGTGAACCGGTTTGATTATGTACCGTACCAAACGCAAACACAGCCCGAAGGCTCAATCTCCCAAAGCCAAGAGAAAAAAAAAAAAAACTCAGATTGTAAACAGACAACATTGTGATATGTTCTTTTCGTGCAAGCGCAGATTGCCACTGCCTGAGCTCACTGAACTCGAAATGGCGACCATATACGGAAAAAAGCCACTCGGCGGCTTCAGCCCCACGTCCTGAAAAACAACTGTTTGTCCTGGCCCGCTCCCCAGGTATGAATGTGACATTTTCACGGCGCTCATGTCAGAAAGCGGTCCTCGCTAAATCGAGGCTTGGAAGGAACCGTGCAAGTTTCCGTTGAGCTGCATGAGCACACGTGCTGAGCATGCGTTTGGCGTTTCATGGAGGTCCCACAAGTTTCGGGTCACGTTTACACCGCTAATCCAAACATCTGCACGGAACCCGGCAGACAGCGGTTTGATTCCCGAGGCTTTCCGATCAGGTTGGGACTTTCACAGATCCTTCACATGCTTTGGTTGGAGACCAAAGAGCCCAAATCTTACCTCGGGACTCCTCAGCAAAGTCGGCGGGTATAAAACTATAAGTTAGGATGGCGGGGAAGCCAAAGATGAAGTCTTCTATAGGTTCCAAACGAAAGCCCGTGACACAGATGTTGTGGTTCTTTAGCGTTACCACGTGACAAAGATCCAAGCTGAGATACGGCAATACAGCAATGCTTTCTTCCTATCCGCTAACGTGACTTGCTGCGCTCCCCGTTGCCGTCCAATAAAGGACATGTTTTGTGGGTTGATTTTCATGCTTTCAGTGACTTTGTGGATTTTCCTCGTGGTGTTGTGATCATGGGAGTCTGCTGTTGCGTTGCGCTTGCATTTTGCACATTTAGTCAGCGTTTACAATGCCGCTCTGGGCGCACGGTAGTCTACGAGGACAGAAATTCATTTGCTTTTTTTCTTTTTCTTGGGTAACCGTAGTCTGTTCTTTTACGTTAGCGTTCTATCTACACGGTTTTCTTCCATTGTTATTGCTATGAAGTGAACTATGCGCTGCCTTCTTGGCCAGTCCACCCTTGAAAACGAGAACTCCATTTCAATGGATTTCATTTTCTGGTTAAATAAGGCGTTTGATTGGTTGACTGACAATGACCAACGTCATTGTTAAGTTAAATACAATCGACCTAAAACAAAAAATCTTCGGAACGTTTATTTTTTGACGTTTCACACCAAGCACGAGAGGGAGCCCCGTGTGGGTACCGTACTTTGAGAACCACTACCTGTAAGCAGAAAAATTGGATCATTTTATTGATCCATACGTCTGTAATAACTGCTGTCGATTGGGGCACATTTAAAAATGTTCATGATTTGATTCATCCAGTATTTGAAAAAAATAATGGAATAGACTGATCCATGACTAAATTTATCGTTAGCAACATGTTTAGTTTTTATGAGGTCAAACTAAAGTGGAAAAGGATTTTTCTTCACCAAAACATTTTGGGTGAACGATTATTTTGGGGAAGCGGGAACAGATGGCTGGCATTTTCCGTTTATTTAAATGGAGAAAGTGGATTTGAGATACAAGTGTTGTGAGTTACAAGCAAGGTCCATGATGGGACTGAAATCGCAAATCAAGGTATCGCTAAGCGCTTAGTCTACACCGCCCCCCCCCCCAAAAAAACTTGAAATGTTCTTGCACTCCCACCTACCAAAGTAGAAAAAGCCTTTTATGAGTGTTTATTAAAGATTGTGAAACATTTCAGGATGACGAGTCAATATGACTAAGGGGACATTCAGAGCCTTGACGAAGCCACCACCAAGCAAACACGGGAAAGGGGGGAGAGGGGAAAAAAAAAAGGGCTGCTGTGGCTTCCACATCTGGGATGTTAGTTAGGAATTCCTCTACAGGCTAAGAGGCTCAGCGGGGGCCTGCATTTTGGAAGCCAACCTCGTTGGCTATTTTGTGTTCCTTACTGCTGCGAGTTGAAACGAAAACAATCTTGCATACGTATTAACAAACAAAATGATGGTGGGGGGTGGGGGGAATGTGAGTTTCCCTATCCACGAGAATGTTCCTCGTGGGCCATTTGGATACTCGGCGTGTTTAAGCCCCACTCGAGAATTCCACAAAATGAGTTTTTAATGACGAAAAAGTTCCATTCGGACGACGGAGACATTTACGTCGATTGGATGGAAAGTTGGGGAACACAAAAAGGTGCCCCCCCCTTTTGCGCCATTTCATCGCATTTTACGACACAAACTCCGAACGTCCCCTTCAAACTTTGATTTCATCAACTTTATGTGATTTATGTTTAATATTGGAAAAGTACACGGGTTATTTTTGTTTGAAAAAAAAACGCACACGTTGCATTTAAAGCTTCAGTTACGGTGAGGTGCCAGACATTGCACGAAGCCATTCACACGTAGTCAAAGGCGAGAGGGGTGGGGGGGGGGGTCGTGCTACCACGGAACTAAAAAGTCGCTTTTGACACAAATGACGAACTACCTGGCTGAAAAGTTTGTGTTCAATCGACTGTTCACATCGCAGAGATTCGACTTTTGTTCGCCAAGTAGTTCAACGGTTACCTTGTGGTCGCGATGCTCCTGCTTCGCTGCTCCGGCTCTCTTCTTTCTCTCTCTCTCTCCTTTTTTGAGTTTTTTTTTTCTCTACAAAACGTCGTCCACCGAAAAGCACGCAGCCACGAGTCCCCGCTCAAGCCATTCGCCGAATGTTCTCTTATCGGGGTGGAGGAGCAAGCAGCTCGTAACCTTGCGCGGCGGCGGCGGCGTCGTGAGGTGTTGTGTGCGTCGGACTCGGCGGGCTTCAGACAAAGAGCGAAGCTCTGCAGGGTGGGTGTCCCCCTCCTTTTCTCCATTCCTCCTTTTCGCCTCCTCCTCCTCCTCCTGCTGCTGCTGCTGCTGCTGCAGCACCCCACCCCCTCGTCTCGCTCTCATCGGCTGCCTCACTGCTCCTGATGCAACACTAACCTCCTTTTTCGATGCGCCCCCCCACCCCCCATGCAAGATAGAACCAGTGAAAGCCTCCACGTGGTCGATCTTGAACAACTGCCAATCTATAACTGCAGACGAAGACGTTACAGTATGTTCTCGACCGACCTAAAGTCATGACACGACAAAAAACTTTGTTAGGCGAAAGGATTTCTTAAACACAAATTAGTTTTGTTGGTTGTTTTTTTTTTTGGGTCTAGTTTCTAGAGTTGCAGTTGTAATACTGCTGCCATGCTAAATTGTGAAGGCATAAAAACGTCTTTTGATCATGGATTGAGCGTTGACACCTTGTTTGAAAATCAACTTGCCGAATCCTGGGACCTTTCTCAACCTTCTCAGATTCGGGCAGTCCGTCATGAAAGCAGGGCCATCATAGCAATGAAGACATTTGCCAACACCTGCTTTTGTTTTGGAAAACAATGGAAATCAACATTTTTGCCCATTTCCTGACACGCTACAGACCAAACCAGAAACTCCATCGGAATCACTTTATAGTTTTTCCCTGCCCTGTTAATTTGAAATAATGTGCGGTTTTTTTTTCATTGAGGAAAGGAAATCGATTTTTTTCTTTCGCTCTTTTCCAATCTGAGTGAAAGAATCCACATCTGAATCCATAATCCAATTCATTGCTGGTGACTGAGAGAGAGAGAAAGAGAGAGGCCAAAATCTCAAATAACCCCCCCAACTTTCGACTTGTTTTTTTGGTGTTTTTGCTTACGGGATGAAAGGTTGATGACTGTCAGTGCAAATGCCGTCACTGCGCATCGCTTTCCCTCGCGCCGCGGGCGTAATTGGCCATTCCGAATCAGGCGTAGCACGTCGCCAACTCATTTGTGAAGCACGACGGGGAGTTAGAAGCATTTCCACGGCGAGATTTATTCCCCATTACGACGTCAGGTGGCTCGGACCGTGAATCACAAGTTGAGCGGATCCCTTAGCTCAGCACTCTGAACAATATAAAAGTGGCATCAGCCTTCTCCGACCCCCCCCTTCCCCGTTGCACAATAGCCTATAACGTAAAGCCCGAAACTACACTCCATCAAAAAGTAAGCGTCTTCCTAATCACCGCCCTTCTTCCCCGGGGGATGACTCGGCACTTTCTCCAAAGACTTGGAAGAAGACGAATGATGTCGAAGAGAAGCGCGCCTCGCGCCGGGGCGTTCCGCCACGTGACTCATCTGCTGGAATGCCAAACCATGGCCATTTTCGTGATTTTGCCAAAACTAAAACACACAATAAGAAAAGATGGCAAACAGGGCGCCTCGGTGACGTTCTAACTGAGTCTTCTCTGGTTTATGATGGCCTCCGGCGCCGGGGCGTTCCGCCACGTGACTCATCTGCTGGCTTGCCAAACCATGGCCCTTTTCGCCATTTTGCCAAAACTAAAACACACAATAAGACAAGATGGCAAACAGGGCCCCAGTGTGTGTGTGTGTGTGTGTGTGTGTGTGTGTGTGTGTGTGTGTGTGTGTGTGTGTGTGTGTGTGTGTGTGGTGATGCTCCTGCTGCTTGGGCTTTATTTTCTATTCTCTGCGCTTGGTGCCGTTCTAACTGAGTCTTCTCTGGTTTATGATCGCCTCCATTTCTGGCGGCCATAGCGGCTGACCTCTCCCGCGTTCATCCCGCTTAATTTCATGATCGGCAGCTGGCTAAAGTCAAACTTTTCTCTGGTGAGCACTTTGAAACAGTCATTCGTGCCTTCGCCACATCTCGGCTGGATTATTGTCACGCGCGCTTGACTTTGGAGTCAGCCAATCCTCCGTTAGCCACTTGGCCCAGAATGCCGCCGCTCGCCTCTTGACTGCGACTTGTAAGAGGGAGCGCATCCAGTAACTCAGACTCGGGCATCCCTTCACTGGCTCATTTTCGAGTTCTTTTGAAGATCCTCTGATTTGTTTTCCAATCTTGAAATGGCTTTGCCCCACTTTCCGCCTCTCTGAGCTGCCCGGTGCCTCAGGTCTGCGGACCGGACCCTATTAGAGGGAGCGAGAATTAAGCGGAGACTCGGAGGAGATGGAGCCTTTTGTTGTGGTGTGGATTCTTTTTGCTCCATGTGCAGCACTTTGTGGACAGCGGTGGTTGCGCTCTCGAAATACACCGAGTTGCCAATCAGGAAAAATAACGGAGGAGATGAGTTTTGAATCGAGAAATGAGTCCAATCAGCAATGCAGCACATTTTCGAACAAGATTCACAAGGCTATTATTTGGGCGCGTAAAAAGCCGCAGTTCTTGTCTAATTGCCGCTGCAAAGCGGGGGTCAGCGGAGGAATGCGACGCCCTTCCCCCTTTGCGGGGGTTGTGGCGTGGCCCTATTGTCAACCACGGGGCAGGCTTTTATTCATCGGATGTAATCCGGAATCCACAAGAAAAGAGTCGAGAGACGGCTCATCGGGACGCTCAACGGGGCTGCCAGCCTTGCGGCATCTTCGTCAAAAGTGCTCGTCGCAGATTCGGAACGTGCTTGGGCACAAAAGTATGACCCCCCCTCCCCCCAGACCTCCTGTAAATGTGCAAAAAGTGGGCCAAAATTGGACTTCTTTTTGATCCGTTTCTGGATGCTACCCATGCCCACCAGTTTTCATCCCTCAAGGTCAAACGTATCGGAACAGGGCGCCGTTTAACCTCTGCAGGGGGCACTGCAGACCAGTTATTGTGGTTCGCCAGGGTTGGAGTGTGCGCCAAGCTTTTGTTTATGTTTCGACCCTCCAAAAGAGACCTTGCAGCGATTGCTGCCCGGGCCCGAAAAAGAACGAAAGTGAGAGCGAGCCCCATAGACCAGTTTCACAGATCAACTTGGAATTGGGTGGACCCATCCATCAGAACAGGACACGGGGGAAAAAGCCTCCTCACCCAATCGAACAGGAAATGGGCCACCTCGGTCGGAACGGCAGCCATTTTGGGCCAATTGCAGGGCTCGCTTCTTGAGAACCTCCGACAAGGGAGCAATCTCTAACCTCGGTGATTTTGAAAACAATGATCCACGCCGAAATCCTTCCGCGTATAATTTGAGTCTCTCGGTCCTGGTGCCGTTGCTCTGCCTCAAACATCTTTGCCCTCTCACTTGTTCCCCCGACAGAGTTCTCCGGGTATCCAAACGTGTCTCAAGAGGCCAAAGGGCTTTGCCGAAGTCTTCTTTGCCTGGGGACGTGGCCCTCGTTGCCACGGGCGGTCACCTCCCGCCTACGAGACATTTTGGGACTGAATGAATGCCTCTCATCTCTTGTGGACAAGGCCCAAATGTTCCTTCCGCAGGGCGGCCGGGGTCAGGATGTCGACTCCTCGATAACATTCTTGCGAGTTATCGCTGCACGTTCTCGGTTTTACCTCAAATTCCTGAGACTGTTTTCCTGCCAACGCACCCCGGGGAGAAAAATGCACTCTGGCGTCATTTGCGGGGTCTGTGGTGAAATGGCAAGCTTAAACCGCCGGCCAGCCAACAGGACTGAAGAGAACGAGTGAATTTACTCCACCGGGGCATCACGAAACAAAGCGCAAGCCTTCAAACAGGAGCAAAAATGCCACGTGTCCACGTGTCAGGTTTTGTTTTGGCCGAGCAGAATGCAATCGAATGAGGTAAGCTAAACCTTCCTGTTTAACTGCAAGCGCAACAGGGAAGTTGAGTTCCTTGCCAGCAAATTCTTGGCATCGTCTGATCCCAGATCTTACGAAACACAAGTTTTTCATTGCACGCGCCACCCTTTGAAGATGTGTGCATCGACCCGAGAAAAGAGGTGCCATTCCACGCTCACAATTACAGTGCGGCTCCGCCTTCGAGAAGACCGGCTGATGATCGCCATGCGTTTGGGACATGTGAGGTGAAAGGTGGAAAACCGCAGCCCAGGACCGACAATTGGCTTTCGCCAAGGCCTTACAAGTTTTTCATTGCACGCGCCACCCTTTGAAGATGTGTGCATCGTCCCGAGAAAAGAGGTGCCATCCCACGCTCACAATTACAGTGCGGCTTCGCCTTCGAGAAGACCAGCTGATGATCGCCATGCGTTTGGGCATATGTGAGGTGAAAGGTGGAAAACCGCAGCCCAGGACCGACAATCGGCTTTCTCCAAAGCCTTCCTTTGGGGAACGTCGGTCGAGGAACGGGATGAAAGGATCGTCACGGGGCTATTGAGTGAAGAGAAGTGTTGGGGTTCTCCGCAGTCAAAAAGAACCGCAAATGAAACAAAAGCAATCTTCACTGAAATGTGTTTCGAAAGCTTGAGTCAGCGACAACGCTTGAAGCAGAAATCCTCAACCGCTGGAAAAACACAAAACGTGGAGCAACATCATCAACTGAGGAAATCTCGGAGGCACCGGGCGGGTGCGTTGTGGCGCAGGAGCTCGGAGAGCTTTGAAAGAGTTGAAAACAAATCCGAGGAACTTCTTCGAACAAACTCGCAAACGTATCGGGAGCCGGTCAAGGGATGCCGAGCGCAAGCGCGGGCGGGCTCCGTTTGCTCGGTCACCAAAATGGGGGATGGGGTGACATTCTCGTTCGGCGGGGGTTCGCTTCCTACTTGATCTCACCATGAATGCCCCCCCCCCCGTAAATTCCCCACTCGGCCTCTTTGCTCCACTTGGTAGAAAAGAACTTTTGGGTCGCGGCCGCCACCCGCACGCTTTACGGCACCGCTCGGTCGTGCGCTCGGGTTACAGTTTGGAAGTGAGGCTGCACCTGGGAGCCGCAAAAAAAACAACCAAGAACCCGCTCTCTTGTGCTTCTTGGGAGGAGGGGTACAGTGTTGCCGTGGAAACAGACTACAGCCCGACCCCCGTCCCGCAGCAGATGGCGATGGCGCGGCTAGGGCGGGATTTACTCGCTCCAAACTGATAAGCCGCATGTCAAAACGCTCCACTTAGTTGAGCTGACATCACCGTTGGGCTCCAAGTCACTATTTCTCAATTGTCGAGTGTTTTTTTTTT